CCAGTGGCATGGTCAGTATTAATGTGAAGATGAATTTCACCATTCTGTGTCTACTTTCACTGCCTTTTAAAAGGGGAATCTTTTAAACCCAGGGATATTTATATATCTGGGGATGTGAGGTATGAAAGTTTCACTCCTGAAGTGTTACACAGCCACTATATTTTGGAATAAAGAAGAAAAAAAAGTTGTTACCCCTTAAATATAACACCTTTTTATTTTAGGAAAAATTATTTGTTGCTGCTGCAGAAGTTAAGTGTGTAACTAGAATCTTACCGCATTTCTATATCACGCTATTTCTTCTAGTCCTGTTTAAAGTCACACTCTCAATGATGTATGTGATGATTTTGATCATTTATCTCTAAGTCAGGAGTCCAAGTGGGCCTCAGGCCAGCTGTGACAAGACACACTGACATGTCAAGATTCATTACTGATGCAAATGTGTGATCCTACTCTAATGGGTAAGTGTTCACATTGCAAGAAATACCACTGTAACTGGCAGATGTTTGATACTTGGCCTCAGTGACTAGAATGGCCTGAATACAGCCACCTCGCACCCCAAATGCACAGTTAAGACTGCTCTGGGGATTTGGGGGTGCAACAGCATTGCTCTTCATGCTTCACTACTGCAAACACACCGCTACCGCCAGACCTGGTTGTTCAGCACCTTTCATACTATCTTTAAATGGAAATTTAAAGCTCTGCCTTTCATATCATCTACCTTTTCTCACATTACCTTGGGAAGCTTTCTGATCTCTTCCCAGATACCATTTCTAGCTGCTCCTCCTAAGATATTTAGCCTGGCAATAGGATTGCTTCCAGGTAACCATAAAATTTGGTTGTCAGTCCTCTTGCCAGCCCAAGGATCTTTGACTCAGCACAGCCAGCAGTGTTTCAGATTTCCATTTTTTACATTTTTCAGTAAACCTGCCTCCTGCAGATGTTTGCTTCTAATGTTTGTTTACTTCACAGCTTATAAACAGCTTAGGTCTGATTCACAGCTCCCCTAAGACTGGTTCACACTGGAAGGTAAAGAGAAGTTAAAGGGCCAGAGGCCCTGAACATAACTGAGAATTCAGGCTTTCATTAGAGCATCCTTTGAGTCAGAGCTTTCCTGCTCAGTTCTCTGATGGAACAAGATTCCCCTGTAACGGCTGCCAGGGACACCTAGAGAATCATCTCTTGTGGCATAACTTCATATTTAACAACAGCATTCCCAAAGGTCTAGCAACCCCGATCCCCAACAGATGATGTTCATTACCACAGCAAAAATCTATGTATTGCTTTCATCTAGTACATCTTCTCCAGTCCCATTTTCTTCCACAGAAATAACTTCTGGGCATAGCTAGAGTACATGCATTAGTATGATTTATTTTCAGAAAATACATCACTCATTATGGTGATAGCAGCCAGCATAAACTTTCAGAAATATTTTTAGGTGTCAGAAATAGGACATGTTTTAAGGAGAGGAGAGGTGGGAGTGTGGGAGGGAGAATGGACGCTTAAGAACAATCGAGAGTGTCTGCTGCTTCCAGTATGATATAACCTGTTAAACTGGAGCTAATGAGAATTAACAGGGATCACTTAACATTAATGATTAAACAGTGTACACATCATTACATTTCTAGTCCTTGTAAGACTTTTCATGCCACTCCAGCAGGCTGTTTGTGCTGAGGAGGATGGGATTGTAAGGTAATGATGGCATGTTAATTCTTCCTTTTCTTTTTGGCTTTGATGGGTTTTTCATAAACCTTATGGGCTTTGCTGCTGCATTCATTTGATTGTCATCTTTCCCTGTTAAGTGGGGAAATGAGACCAACGGACACCCGCATTTGAGGGCAGAACTCTCCTGAACTGGAGTATTTCCTGCCATAGCTGCTCCCCTCTGCGTACGCCCAAGTGGAAAACTTCTTCTAAACAAACTTCTGGTTTGTGTTTTTTTAAAATTCATAAAGGCAGTATTTCAATCAAATGATAGGCACTTTACCAGCAAAGAAATGTCACGTAATTTAAAGGCCTGCTTCAGCTACTGTCCTTTTAAGCAAAACTTCCCCTCACATGTGGTTGACAGGCTATCTTAATCCTTGGTTTGTAGGTATAACCTTCCATCTCAGTTTGTAAAGCCAGCAAGCAGCTTTTGACCTGGTTTCCCTTCTTTGTTGGAGGTAGGCGTTACAGTAACATGATATAGCAACTACATTTTTAAAAACAAAATCCAAGGTCAGATGGCTGTCACCCAAGGTCAGAAAGAAAGAGATTCAAATGGTGCTTGACCACCAAGGAAGAAAACCTAAGGGTTAAACGTTCGAATTACACAAACCTTGGCAGGAGGGATTTTATTGTTCTTGTGCTGTTTTCACAGGGAGCACCAGATATTTATGTGAGAACTGAACTTCTTATATCTTTTAGAGCATGTTGCTAATATTTTTGCTAGAGAAATCAGTTATTTGGAGGCTTCAGCCCCGAAAATTGGCAGTTTATCTTCAGTTTGTCTCATTTCTTAGTCTGCAGACTGAACTCTAACACATGCAGTCAGTCAGTGCAATAAGAAACACAAAACAACCCAGAAAGGATCTCTTGAGGTCACTAGAGAAAAAGTTCTTTACAAGAAGGTTGCCAAGAAATCAACAACACCAGGAGACAAGAAGAAGCACAGCTGAGTCTCATATTCTGGGCTATTTCACAAGTAGCCTAGCAGAGCAAGGTATTTAGACCCCAGGAATCCATGCAAATAAAAATTAATTTACACAAGCACTCAAATGAAACTGATCTTGCAAACAGATAACTAGGATCTTCTCTTGATCTTTGCAGGTGACGTGTAACCTGCATAAGGTGAAGAGGTGGTTAAAATTTTGGAGACTAACTAAACCCATTGGTTCTAGCAGCACAAGCTAGAAAACAAGTAAGCTGAAAACACCAAGCAGTAGAAAGTGTCAGGAGCACGATAAACCAATGCAAGTTATTACAAGCACTCTTTTGTCAGAAGACGGTGAGCATGGAGCCTAAAATGAGTTGCTTTGGCCTGGGGAGAGGTAGGGTGAGATACAATGATTCAGTGCTTTTCTTCCAGACATGGTCCCCACAGCTAAGCGGAAACAGTTTGAATCCTACCCTCCTGTGTGATGGATAGTCCCCCAGCAAACAGGATGGCTTGCCTGAGGCCAGGCAATCTGTGCCACTAAACGGGAAGCAATCTGTTGAACAGAGCAAGAACAAATAGATATAACTCTCTTGCTATGAAAAGGGGTGATTGAAAGAAGACATGGGAGAGGTCCATTAAAATTGATGTAGTGACTATTCATCATTCCTCACAGGACGGGAAGCGGGGGACACTGGCATGGGCAAGCTCCAGGTTTAGAAGGAAAGAAAAGGTGGTCCTTTATCCCTGATGCACGGGGTGACACTGTGGAACTTGTTGCCACAAGGTGGTGGGGCTGCCACCGCAGTTCAAAAAGAGATCAGACCAATGCAAAGAAAATGGGGCAGAGTGGCCTGGATGCTTCACCTAAGCTGGTGATTTTCAGAAGCTGGAAAAATGAGGAAAAGGAATCTCTCTTGTTTTTTTTTCCCCTAAGCATTCCCTGCTGCTTTCTACTGGAGCACATAATTCCAGATACCGAGTTAGAAAGATCTTTCATACAACCCAATATGACAGATTCTATGTGTTCATGTCTATCTTATTTTACCTTTAGGACGTAAAAAGGTGATAATAATTCTTCAGGATAATTACTTGAGAACCATTTTCAAGTGAATATTTACAAACTAAAGTATCAATCTCATCACTTCTATATACAGGTAGGAATTACCCTGAATATCTAAATAACTATGGAACATTGCTGACTGGTTTGCATTACTTGCAAAGACTAGTCTCAGGAATGTAGGATCGTTGAGAATATAGGGTAAGAAAAATATAGTTAAGAATGTAAGGTCAGGGAAAGTGGCATATCTAGAAAGTAGCCACCAATAAGAGGATAAAAAAGAGGACAAACTAACAAATATTTAACCATGTGCCATGAACAGCAAATCTCTTTCTGGCCCCAACTAGCGATCAGTTTATGCATGCAGTTTATGCAGTAACCGCTACTCCTTGCAATTTTAAACTAGTTAATGTAACTACAAAAAACATCCCTGCATGTAAGCTACTGCAGTGTGTCCAAAATGCAATTTGTAGACCACAGAGTGAGCTGATTCCTCCTCATTTTCAGAGGCCAAATCAATGTACAATCCAGCTAAAATATTTTATTAAGTTTTTGTCTGTGTGGAAGGAGGTGCAAAGACATTGTTTAAGCGCAAATGGGAAGAGTGATCCACATGCCCATGGTAGACAGAAGGGCGATGGAAAGCTTCCCTATCACCTCTCTGTGAGGAAAAGGACCCAGAATATTGAAGGTATAAAGCAAGCTGTTAAATCCAGGACTATCCTCAGATTTTCACCTGGAGTTGGCCTCAGTTCTAGAAATAAACTGAAGAGTTCTTTTTTTTATTATAGTATAGTCACCAGAAAAAATTAAGCATGTTCTTTAAAAATGCAGTCTAATAGGCTGTTTTGGGAATCAGCCAGTATCTAGTCTATAAATAAATCTGGTGCACTCAAAAGCTACAAAAGGGTGTTTTTTCCTCTCAATGCATTCAGTTAGTTAGAGCCCAGGAAGCGCGTATCTTAGAGGAAGACGAAGGAAGTAATATCTTTCCAAAGGATCCTGACCCGTGTCTACATATTTTCAGGGTATTGTAAGAAGCTGCCCTTACAAAGCCAAATACTGACCTTTTAATCTCCCACAACTTCCCAGGAGGAAAAGAGCTTCTCTCTGCTTTAATAATGGCCAGAGCTGTCACTCTCCTCCCCGAAAGGAGCAAGCACAGCAAAAGAAGCAAGCAAACATTCACCACTTCGGACGGCTTTCTTATATTTGAATTCTCTGTCCCTACACCTCTCCATAAACAAATACCTCACAAGAAGCAGATACAAGGAGCGGGTCTGGCAGAGTGTGATTTTGACTTACATATGCTGTGAAGCGTTGGGGTAGAGCTCTGAGAACTGCGGTGCCGAATCCTCGGGGCCATGGGGCGCAGCATGGCTGATGACCATCATTATGGGCCTATGGGGATATATCCTCTTAGACATTCTGAAGTAATTAATGCTCTCATTAGTGATTAGGTCTGTGAAGTAGTCCTGGAACATACGATTAACACAAAGCAAAAGTTACAAAGTGCATGATTAATTAGATCATGTACAATCATGTTATTATGTTATTTTCAAGTCCTCATTAAAGCTCAGATCAGGAAGTAAAAACATACCATCAAAGAGATGTACGATTCGAGGGAGCATAGGGGAGACTGAGCAGTAATTACTTTCTTAAGCAGACAAGGCCACATAAAATGAGACAGTATTTTGCAAATCAGATACAACAGAAGGCATTAAGTAAATATGATTACCAGATTTTGTAATATAATGCTAAGGAACATTTAAAATGACAGACTCTACTGACAAAGATATGTTTCTTGAATTTCACTGATAAAACACTTGCACAAGATAATGGCTCCTAACTGCAAGAAATCATTGACTCTTGCGTTGGTTTTTTGTTTACATAAACATTTCTTGCATGCTCTTTGTTCAAAGTATACTTTTGCATATGGACAAAGTGGAAGAAAGCTACAACAGGCAACAGATTGCAAAAATCTTTATCAAAGAAATTGCAAATGTGAATGCAGGGAGCAGTTGAATTCCTGCAGGCTCTGTTCGTTTAATTGTGTAACTTTAAGCAGTGCAGCTGCTGAGATTAAGGTTGTGACTCGCTAATAAACTGGCTTAACCCACAGCCAAGGTGGCAAATAGAAGCCTACAAGGGGAAGGGAGGAAATGGAACTAAGAAAAAAAGATGAAAACTTAAATTAAACCACCTGCCACCTTGGAGCATTCACTGTTGGCCTGGAGGTCTAGTGCGAGCTTCATTGAGAAAGTGCTGAGACAATGTTTGTAATTTCAAGCACTTCCAGGCATGACTAATCATATGTTGTGGATTCGAGGCCCCGAACAGCTGCAAAAGCAGAGCCTGAGGGACAAGGGCTGTGTCGCACGTCGGTGCTAGGACAAGCCAACCAGCTGCAACCTCCCCGCTTGCCCGCTCCCTGTCCCCCCTGCCCTTTCCCCTCTGCTGTAGCATGCTTGGAGCACACACGGTAGCCCTGGCTGCTACAATCCTTGCAGGGATATGGAAGAGGCAGCGAGTGACCTTTCGGTGTACAAAATGGGTAATGAGCGCGAGGCACCAGTGTTGTGATAATTTCTGGTTCTGTGGCCTGTTCAAGTGAAATGCCTGTATGACTGCTTTCCCAAAGCATCCACTCCCCTCCTATTTGCTGTTTATTCTAGCTACGTACACAGGGTGTGTAAGGAATGTATAACTAACCAATATTCTTTATTTTCTTTTTTTTTCCTCTATATAAATATATAATTAGTATCATGTAATTTCTACGGGTGGGGAAATCAAAAACAGGCATCGCGAGCTTCCAATAAAATCTCATTACATGGGTCAGAAACCACAGCTGCAACATCTGTATCATCTTCTGTGAGCTACAGTCTGAGGAAATTCCAGATTGCTTTCTGCACGCTGGAAAGTCTGCGATCTGCGCTCCTAAGCCTTTCTGAGAAACTTCACGGTAGTGGGCAGGTCACCTTGGCATACTTGCCAAACTTTATCAAGAGCACAAACAAGCTCTGAAGTTTTCCAAGGGCTGTGTTCTCATGCTTATCTATTCTCATAGTCACATCTGGAGCCTGACACCACAGGCGCACAGCCTTTTTGTGTGTGTGTGCACTGTATAATGGAAAACAGCATTAACTAAGGTTTCTTATGTGGGTAACAACTCAGCTAACTTTAAAGTTCAGTAGTGCAAGGGGCACAATTATTTTTGGGAAGGGCTTTATTTACTATTTGCTTCTGCCACAGAACCATCACTTTCTAGCAGAGAGGGAGGGAGAGAAGGAGGGAGGGAGGAATCACCAGGCTGCCCTGAAGAGCCCTTGGAAACTTTCTTCCGTTGTGCGATTAATATTCTCACATGGAAATTGATCTGCAATGCCCTGGAGAGAAAATGACGTCTCAATTTCTTGGTTGTAGTTGGTTAATTAATTAATTATCTGGTTAATTAATTATCTGAAAGTGATTTTTATATGGATTAATGATGCAGCATTTATGTGTCTGGAAAATACCTTTGCATAATCAAATCCATGCTTCTCTTTGTTACCATTGCGAGAAATGGTGTAATTATAAAAGCGAGAGTTCTTCACTAATCCAACCCACTCTCTCCACCCAGGAGGGATGTAGCTGCCATTGTATTCATTGAGGTATTTCCCAAAAAAAGCTGTGAAGGTAAAAAAAAAAAAAAAGAACACACACACACACATGAGGCTTTGCAATCCAAGTCTTTTAGTCTGAGTCAAAAGCATGCATGAATGAAGATAAAATGTGTTAGAATGAGTCAGAGTTGCTTTATCAAAAATGTTCCTTTTATACCTTAGAGAGTTTTGAAATTAAAATAAGTTATTTCCAGAGTTTTTATGAGAGTTGAAAACCTTCGTGACTTTAGGTTTTCTTCTTAATCTTTTGGCATCTAGTGCTCACATGAAATATTTTCGGGTTTTTTTTTAGAATGAGTATGTTTCTCTTGGTTTTCACTTGAAAATGGAATAAAAACTCAGTGCCCAGAGGAAACATCTGAGAAACACCTTGTGGTTTTAAGCAAGTTCTGTGATGTTTTGGAGCTCGGCTTCTGACTTTTGAATGTTTGGGCTTAGCAACCTGGCTACGTTTGATAAAAGGTCTGGGAAGTCCAGATCTCCATCCTGCTGGGCCATGTTTGGGTAGAGCAAGAGGGAATCCCCACCCTGCTTTGCTACCACAGCTTCTCTAGGGCAAAACTAACGAAGAGACAAAGACTTGGAGGTCAACTACCTCTGCCTGGCCTGCCAAACTAAGTCTATTTTTTTCCATTAGCTCCAGGTGACAAGTCAGAACCCACTCAGACTGAAACTTTCAGCCTTTGCCGTCAGGCCCAGGAGGGTTTGCAGGTGCTCCTGCCAATTCCTCTGGAAGGAAGTAAAAAGGAAAATAGTCTCACGATGCAGCGGGCTCCCAGCTATCTGGGAGTTGTGAATCGCTTGTGCCAAAGATACACAGACACCAAAAGCTGGCCAACTGGCTTTGGGAGGGCGGATTAATGCTGGCATGGCAACCTGGCAAATGCAGCCGTGTTGCTTCTAGGGACAGATGGGTATGGAAGCTCTTTAGCCGCTTGTGTATGGTCTTTGGCCTGGATAAAAAAGTCAGTTTGGATGGCTCTGCCCTGCTTTTCCACTGCCTGGGAAGTGTGGTGACAAAACACCTGACTGGGCCTGCAACTTGCCTTTTTAGGGATTTATTAGAGCCGGCTCAGTCCCAGCAAGTTACCGGGCTGTCTGAGTAACTTCAGCATTTGCATTTTTAATTTTCTTGAGGTTTACAAGCCCCTTGAGGGTCACCTGCACCAGCAGTTCTGCCGCCCGTGTCCCCAGCACTCAGCACAAAGGTACACCCGGTGCTCACAAAATAAGACACCCCTGAAGAGGAGGGAATGACAGAGACCTCTTCCTTTCCAGGGACATTGCTCTTCTGGGTGATAGCACTTCACTGCACCCCTCATGGGATGCAGCCCCTGCCCTGGCTGCTGGCCCTGGCTCGGCCAGCCATGCCTGCCCGCGGAGAGCTGCTGCCCAATGTCGCTGCCTCAGCTGGGCTTTGGGACACACGTCAAACCCCCGTACTTCTTTCCTACTAGGAAATGAAATCACTTTGGAAAACCTCACATTCAACCTAGACACATTCAATCTAACCAAAAAAGCACATTTGTGGAAGGGCTTAAATTATTCAGATCTGATTGATGTGGGCATGGTGAACTTCCTGGGAAAACTGGTGGAAAAATCAATATGTTCATAATTAAAACTTGCCTGACGCAACATAAATATGGTGCAATTGGATCATATAACTGCCAACTGTCACTAACCAGAGGTTACAGTCATATATAATGTTACTTTCCTGTACCACGTGGAATGTGACATATAAACAAGTCCTACAGACACTAGACTAGGCTTCCAGCTCTTCCTCCCACAGCCACTCAGAAAGCAACCCAGACGCTCTT